GCCTCTCCCTGGCCCTTTGTGGCGCTGACCGCCCGGCGCCCTCGGGGTGGGGCGGTGGCCGGATCCCGCCCCCTTCGACCCCGCCCGGAGGGGGAGGTGCCGCGCCCGCCGGCGCCCACAGCCCGCTCCGCCCGCGCGGCCTGCCCGGTGTCTGCCCCTGTCGGAAGATCACGCCCCGAGCCTGATTTATGGCCCCTCGGCCCTGCCCGCGAGCGAGCACCGCTTCTTTTCGGGTCGGTGGCGTTGGAGAGAAAATGCATTTCCTCCCTGGCTGTAGGCGATCTGGAGCGCCAGGAGTTTGTGCACGACCACCAACACCCTCTCTCGTTCCCTCCTGCGGGCACCGAAGTTTGCCAGCCTCCTAGGTATTGATCAGGCTGTTTAAAAGGGGAAAATGTTAGATTTCTCAGGAGACAATTGGGTTTTCTTCCATGCATAACCCTACTAGAGCTCTTGCTCTCCAATTTAAAACCTGGTAAGGTGCAGTGCGGCATGTGTCCGGCCACCTGAGCAGACCTGGACAGGGGACGTTTATCCAGTACTGGTCCCAGACCAGTTACGCGGCCACACCCTGGCAGTGCCCTCAGAACAGTCAAATTCTGGACACACTTGTGAGGCCCGGGGGTGGGTCTTTTTCTCCCTCTCTCCTTTTTATTATTCACAAGACTGATTGTTTAAATGTCATAACTTAAAAGAAAACAAGCTACATTGAAATAAATTAAACACAACGGAGACGTGCTTCAGACATGGCTCAGATAGAATATGCAACCCCAGGAAAGAAAGCCAGGCACAGCCAAAGCAAGGCAAAGCGAACTTCCAGGCTGCCCAACAATGTCTGCTTTTCAGTCAACTCAAAAAGCCAAAACATAAAAACAAAAAGAAGTTTAAACCCCAGTGTTTGTTCTTGTGTTTCATGTTTACCTTTGGAAAAGTATGGAAAGGTAGCTGCTAAGCGCGGCAGATGACAGCGGAGGTTTTGCTTTCTTCTGGACTGTGAATGGAGAATATTAGGGGTACTCTGGTCCTGTAACTTTCAAAATACCGCAGCTGAGATCCAGCCTATATAGATATCTATGTACAAAGTAGGATAGTATAATAAATATTTAGTGTGTCTTCCAGTGTGGCGGTAGCCCCTTCAAAAGCAGTCTTTTAAGCCCGTTTAATGAATATATTCTCGATTTGCTTGGGACGTCCACAGTCGGGGTGTGACTTGGAGTTTGGCGAGTCCACCGTGGGTTCCCTCCGGTGCTGGGGCTTCTCCAGGTGGGTGCCAGGCCCTGGCCCTCCCTGGGCCCTCAGGGTCGGGCCTGCTCCAGCTGCTGATGCTGACTTCTGATAGCGAACCTGCTGACGTGGACGGGGATGGGGACAACGATCTTGGGGTTCCGGGAGGGCTCCCCGGTCTTGGAGTTGGCATTGCCCGCCTTCACCCGTTTCCACTTGGCCCGTCGGTTCTGGAACCAGATTTTCACCTGCACCTCGCTGAGTTTGAGGGCGTGGGCGATCTGCGAGCGCTCGGTCAGGGAGAGGTACTTTTTGCAGTGGAATTCCTTCTCCAGCTCCAGCAGCTGCTCGCTGGTGAAGGCAGTCCGCCGCCGCCGGTTCTTGCCGGTGGACGTGGTGCTGCCCGCGGCGCCGCCGCCCGGCGCGGTCTCCTCCAGCGCGTGGCCGGGCTCTTCCTCCTTGTGGGCCGCCTGGCCGGTCAGATTGTCGTCCGAGCTGTAGTCCACATCGCTCTCCAGCGAGAAGCTCTCCTCCTTGCCCTTCGGGTCGTCCTCCCCCTTGGACTCGTCTTTCCCTTGCGCGCGGACGGCCCCGACTGAAAGCAAAACCAAACGGCGTTTGATTACATTTCGCACGCTGGCCCCTTTCCCCGTCGCACCGCCGCTGGGGTATTCCACACCCGCCCCCCTTAGCGGATTGTCTGTGCCACTAACACATGGTGACTTCCTGCCCTTTGGTGGTGGGGGTGGGAGAGGAGCGTGAGAGAGCTCAGAAGAGAGGAGGGGGCCGCATAGGCGACGGCCCTTTGCCCAGAGCCATCACTCCGGGGACCGCCGTGCCACCTCCGCACCCTCCCAGCCTCCAGCAGCTTAAGGAGAAGTGGCAGGACGCCTGAGGCCCAAGAGAGAGTCCCCATTGTCCCCGGGGTGGGGGCTGGGTGAGGACCGAGGGGGAGTTTATGACCCATCCTGCCTCCCCCAGAGTGAAAATTTAGCAAACCTCAGTGTCATCGCATCAGAGTGGAGGCGTAGGGACGTGCAGATGCCAGAAAGCGTTGTTTTTGAGTCATAATTTTGGTCACAGGGATGTCTCACAGCCTTAGGAGAAGTTCCCAGCAGACACCCTCAACGCACACTTGCAGTCACACAGCCTCCCAGAAACCCGGTTCTCCCGGGCAAGCCCAGGCGCAGTGAAGGGGTGTACAAGTCTGGAGGCCCCGGGCACACGCACGGCTGAGATGCGCAGCCCGACACTCCTCCCCTGGGGCAGCCACCTACCCTGGGCCCCAGGTCACGGCGGGGGGAGGGAGGTGGACTGGGCCAAGCGCACAGCCAGACAGATTTGTCGCCCCGCGCAGCAGCTGCCGGGGGTGGGGGTGGGGCGCTCGATGCTCCCCCAGAGACCCCGCTTGTTGCATCGCTCTGAATGTCCCCCGGAGGCCCCGCGGGAANTGGGGCTCGCACCCGCTGTGGCCGGCTGGAGGCGTTTCTTTCTATTACATTTGCGGTGGGACAAACCTGCTGGCGGCTCACCCTAGGGCCGGGTGCTCTGGCTGCGCCGGGGGTCCGGGAAGGGTTCCTGGAGTTGGGGGGTAGAGTCCTGCCCGTCCAGATCCGCCCCCACCTACCTGCCCCCAGGGCGCCGGCCGGGAGCTGGCAGCCCCCAGCCAGGCGCTGGGAACCCCCCGGGTGGCTCGCGGCGGCCCCGCGTTCCCGGCGGGGCGGAGAGGCTGCTGGTCCTCCCATCCCGAGCTGGGCCTTCCCGTGAGCGACTCCTCTCATTTTTCATGACATTCTTAATCATCGCACCTATTTAGACACTTTGCCAGCACGCACCAAAATAACAGCCACGATAATTATGATAATAGGGCGAGTCCTTTATGTGCTCCATCCTCGGGGAGGAGGGGGGAGTAGTTCTGCCTGCAGACTGCAGAACGTGAGATTATCCTGATGAAGGCTTTATGATGTTTGCTCAAATAAAAGCTGCGTTTCGTAAATAGGCGCTAATTAAGCACGTTGGGAGCGCTCGCCCTGGCCCCGCCGCCCGGTTTCCAGCTCGAGGACTCGAGGGCGCGCGGCTCCCCTTGGGCGCCTGCAGGATGGAGCCGATTCCCTCAAGATGTTCCTCCCGTTCTCGACAATGGTAAAGACCCCGAAATTTGGGAGTAAGGGAGTGTCGGGGTGGAGGGAGACCCGGGATTCTCTTATCCCTTCCCCCGCGTGAAAACAAAAACTTTCGGCTCTCGTGTTCCCTTTACAGTGGGAACCACTCGGTGGCCAGGGAGGACCGTGCCAGGCGCGCCGGCGCGCGGGGCTTCCACGCGCCCCAGGGCCTCGGCCTCAGCTTCCCGGGTCCAGACGTCCGCCCTGCGCGGCCGACAGCACCGGGCCGGGGAGGAGGAGAGCAGGGCACGGTCACGTCAGTCATTGAAAACCAGCTCGCGCCGAGGAGCTAGTGACTGGGGAGTGGGCCCGTGTGGGACGTGTGTTATGTGTCACTTACAGGCACGTTCAACTGGGAGATAAAGATAAATCGATCTTTATGAATTCATCGATCCGTTTCTTTGAAGCCCTTCTTTCTGCTTCTTCCTCTCTCCCTCTAACCCCAAGGCCCCCCAGGGGACCTCTTAATCCCAGACCACGTCCTCGCCCAGGAATGTGGCCTGAGACCCACTGTCCATGCAGCGGGCCCTGGAGGGGACAGCGCCCCCGGACGCTGAGGAAACTCGCTGGCCCCGACGCCAGCCGCCCTGCTCCCCCCCCCACCCCTGCTCTCCCACCCTGCTCTCCCCACCCCTGCTCTCCCCACTCCTGCTCTCCCTC